CATCTACATCCCCTACAACTACGACCCCATATACAGGTGATTTGCGAGTAGGTAGACAAAGAACTCAAAATAAGCATTCTAAGCAACACAAGAATGAAATAGATACCAAAGGGTCTTTGGCCTAGCAGTATTGTAGCCTTTGGCTTCCTAGGAGGTCAGGGGTTCAAACCTCACCAAAGGTGAGGAGGGTGCGTGAGTTTATTTGTTCCATTTGCGGTATATAAATATTATATACTTCAAAAAAAAATGAAATAGATATGCTTAAATGTTAAATGACTAACCCTTTGGAAGCATCTTCCAGATTATTTAAAAGTCTCAATGCATCCACATAGCGTAGCTCTCCAGCAACTGTCGAGATCTGAAAGATAAGATATAGATATCAATCATACCAAAAACGAGAATTATAAGAAACTAAATCAGCAACCAAGCGTGTATCATGCAAGAAAAATCACATATAGTTCAACTTACTCTTTTCCAACGGCTAACAACATAGTTATACTTGTCCACCAACTGCCGCTCATGCGCCTGAAAGACCTTAAAACTTTGTTCAGCTGCCAAATGTTAAGTAGCACAAACAGCTCTCTTTTGCCACCAAATGATAAACGAGATATCAAGTACAAATGACCGGAATGGAGTTGCTTTTGCCATTACAACTTCTATCATGTGTGGACACTCACTGTCCATTTCGCTGACCAAGAATCTTACCCGGTAAGTGAGGGTGGTGACTCTTACCCAGTTGGTGCTTACCTGGTAAGAGAGGCTTATACTAAGGCTATTTTGATGACCAGGAATCTTATACTGTGACTGTGAGGTAAGTGAGGGTGGTGACTCTTACCCTGTAAACACTTGCCCAGTCAGCGTTGGTAAACGGTACCTTAGTTCCATGAACGGATCACAATGAGTGATCCTTTTTATCTCAACATGACTTATTTTTGGTTAAACTTTTCAAGAATGAGCCACCTAATGAAATTGATTTTATGCTCAGTGGTCATTCTGTAGTGTATATAGCACAGTGGGTATATAGAAATCGACCAAACTGACCCCATAGTTACCATGCTGACAGATCACAAATGCCCAGCCAACTTTACCATGCAAATGATTGTCAATGGAAGAGCAAAACACTATTACCTATTAGGGTGAGTTTGGTACACAAACTTATTGTCCCACGTTTGGTGCGACAATTAGACTGGGACTAGACCGGATTGAGTGGGACAAAAATGCAATTTTTTGGAACAAGGTTGGAAAAACTACTAAACTACCAATATTAAATTAAAATCCTAAAACCTTCCACAATTTTTTCACCCACCTACCTTACTCCCGCCCGTCCAATCCTGTCTAGTCCAGTCCCATCCACGTACCAAATGCACCCTTACTCTACAAGCCCGTATTCTATCTGAGATTATTTTGGCAGGTTGTGCAAAAAAAACCTTTTGGTTTCAATTGTTCTATCACCGAGTCCTGTGAACTATCAAGAGAAGGGAAGGATACATGTACGTTCCATCAGCAAACGGTGGATTGCTGAGTTAACATTCTGTATAGACTCCTCAAGAGTTGTTAGCATATAGCTCCGAGCAATTGTATCCGACTGAAACTGTGAGATATGCCACCCTTGAGAAGTGACAGACAATGGGTTGCATCCAACTGACCATGCCCAGTCCTGCCATGTAACAAGTATATCTTAGTTCCAGAAGTCATTTTGACAGACATAATATCATATCCCAGTTTTTTTTTGCTATATCAATTACAAAAACTAATTTCATAACACAATTTTATGCTGTCACATAACAAATGCAGATGTTCCTTTTTAGTGTGATTGGAATCTAAATTTACTTGTTTGCCCATTGGCCATCATCACAAGAAATAGGTGGTAATGATTTTGGTCTACAAGTTCCCTCAAATTTATCTTAAGGGGCAATTAGGTATTTAATTATTAGTTGAAAACACCCTCATTGAACTACGTGCCAAATCAAATGTTGCATCATGTTTAGACAGACGGAGTATATATTCTATAAAATGGTATAAACTGCCTTATATAGAGGGCTATTTCACAAACTCTTAAATGAAAGAGTTCTCTACATATAAATGTCTTGGAACATTTAGGTATAGCTATAAATGAAAAGCATTTTCAATCAGTATAAGCGAATACGAAAACACATATTCATGTTCAAAGTAGTGCACTACCTCCCATTTATGCTGGTAGGTAAATAAGATATAAAAGTAGCAAAGAAGAGTGCAGAGTCTTCAGATGTTCTTAGAATAAATAGTAACTTCTCATAATTCGTTCAAACTGTCCTAAAAAGAACAAAGATTTAAGAACATGATACGCTGGTAGGGGTAAAACCAATAAACCACTGTAATAGAAAATTAAGAGAAACTGAACACAGACACATCATCTTGTTCTTATGTATTACTGAATCATAAATATGAACACACAACATGCCAACTACCTTTTAAGAGGTAAATTAATGTACTACCATGTGGTATGTGTTTACGTACAGGTGTTAAGTAGTCTAATACTAGGAATACATGCCTACTACTCGCTTCATTTTCATTGAATTAGATTGCATGGTACAGATAAGCAATCAAGTGAACTCATAATAGTGGATGTGATTGCAAGCTCGAGTTCATGTATTCATGTTTTCAATTAATAGTGTGGCCAATTAGTCCAATCAGGTTTCAAGCGAGCAGAAAACCATCATTGCCCAGTGAGAAAGCTTGTCTACACTTCCAAAACAAACTAGGTCAGTGATTCAGTCAACTCTCGATAAGGCCTTGGTCCTTATGGATTCAAATATAAAGTGCTTATATAAACAGAAATTCATATAGAACAACTGAAAACCCAAGGCCATGTATGAGTTAAGTATTAATCCAATTACAATGTAAAATATTTGACTAGCACACCCAACACTTCTTCAACAGCCTTATCACATTGATTTGTGGAAAATGATGGCAAAACATAACTACTTCCAAAATTCAAGATAGGGAGTACCTCAATTGCGGATTCATGAGCTTGACTGTAAACAAAATGAAGGGGAAGCAACCCAGCAAGATGTTCAGATACAGCAGCCAATGCAGCTTTTATGGGCCTCCTGATGTAGCACAGAAAAGTTAAATATGATAAAACCTGGTTAGATATTGTAATGAAGATGAATGTAATGTATAGTATAGAAAATCTAAATTAGTCTGTCAACATTCTCTATAAGCAGACAAGTTAATAACCCAACACTGAGGAGATGTAAAGGCAGATAATGGTAACATTCAGAAACAATAAACAATGACATCTTTCTTTGGTAACCTACACAATCTGATAACTAAATCCCACCAACAGAACTGAAAACGAGTATCAGGATATTATATTTAATTGTCTAACTTATATTATTAATATTGATGGAAACACATGGATATTCCTGTCACCTTGAGAACTTGAGAAATGCAAGTTCCCAATTTGCTTTAAAAAATTTATAGCTAAAGTATCTGTCTTTTCCTATTGTAAGTTCCGATTAAGATTCTACAAGGTGGCTGCAAAGGGGAATGCAAAGGCTGGGGCGATATCATAAAGTATCTGATCAGATCTTGATATCTGGAAGCACAGGCCAAGAGTAAGATCAACAATGTTGATGAAAATGTCAACAAAGTGAATGGTGAACCACAGAGAATTGAATCCAGCAGCTTTTCATCTGTGTGTGATCCTAAATACGAAGTATCCCTAACATAAGCAGCTGCCAAATTTTGAATCAACAAGAACAAGCAAATCATAACCACGACTGGAGAAAAATTTAACTGACTTGTAACTATCTATCCTAAGACAAGTTAATCTTGTCTGCCCCAAACCCAAGAAAGTATCCACTGCTCGAGATTGAGGGTATCCTTTTTAACTCGAGTCACAGACACAATACCATGTTCTCTTTATTTCCTATCTAATAACCCAACAAAATCCTAGATACATTTTGCACCGGAGGCAACGACACTAATACTAGACAGCTTTCTATTGAAATCTCAAAGAGGCAAGAAGAAGACAAAGAGAGGGAGACCCCACTATCCTTTGAAAGTACCTTTTGATAACCTTTTCTGCAAAACAGAGATTTGTATAAATTTCCTAGAGATATTGTATCTTTTCTTTAGTTAGAGTTATTATTATTCTCTAGGATTCCTTATTATAAGTTTCCTTCTTTTAGTCGGTTTAGGTTTTCCTTTTCCTGTATAAATACCTCAGCTATATTCGCTCTCAAAATTATAAAAATTTCAGCCCTTAATTTCTACATGGTATAAGAGTTGTACCTCTAAAACCCTAAGTTTCTCCTTCCTGCTGCTTTCAATCTTTTTTCAGCAGTCATCTAACCATCAATGGGAACTTCCGACGACTCTGCCTCCTCAGATCCAATTCCTCCTTAGAGCTCAAACACCACCCGAATTCTCTATAGTTCTCCTCTCCCAATGACGTGTCACAAACTCAACGGACACAATTACCTTCAATTGTCTCAACCCGTCCTCATGTATGTCTCCGAGAAAGGAAAAGATGATTACGTTACCAGTACAGCCTCTCTACCCAAAGAATCAGTCCCCACGTTCGCCAATGGAAGTCTGGAAACCATATGGTGATGTCTTGGCTGATAAATTCCATGCTCTTTGAAATTGAAGGGAACTTTCTTCTCTATCGGACTGCCTAAGATATCTTGAACATAGCCCATGATACCAACTCATGTTTTGAAAACACTTCAAAACTATTTGAAGCAGAAACCAAACTTTTTGAACTCGAGCAAGGAGATTCGGATGTTACCTAATACTTCAACACTATCACAAGGTATTGGCAACATCTTGATATGTTTGAGGTATATTCTTGGAAGTGTCCTAGTGATGCAGCCCTCTGAGGAATCATTACCGCAGGGCATAGAGGGGGAGGTCATAAGCATCTATACCATACAGTAGAGACGGAACGAAAAGACATATATGGTAGATTTCTATCAGGGTTGAACAAAAAACTTGACCAAGTCAGAAGCAGAGTCATGAGCCTTAAACCTCTTCCTCTAATCCGAAAAGTTTTCTCTGAAATCTGAAGGAAGAAAGTCGGAAAAGACTGATGATGCCAAACTCTTCAAAATAATTAGATGGATCTGCCATGATAAGTCACTTGTCTTCTTCAAACAACAAGAATCGAAAAGGCAGACCATGTTGTGATAACTGCAAGGTCAATCCCTTCACAACAGTCAAACTCGCCTTCAACCAATGCAAATGTCAATCTTCAAGGTACCTCTCCTCATGTATTCATTATAACCTCCAACCCCACAGGCCCATAGATTGGGGATTCAGGAGCATTTGACCGCATTACAGGTGATTTAAACGTCTTTTACACCTTCACAGAATGTGCTAATGGGACCGGAGAAGGTGATCCGCAAAGAAAGGAACATTTCTACTCTATCTTCAGGGGGACCAATGGAAGGATATTCAATTATGGGAAACTCTACCAGATCACTACTCCATATATACCCAACAAAATCCTTCTCCAAGAAACACTACTTCATCATCCCCTATACAACCTGATCCTACTAAAGAAAACACCAGTCCTTGCCTGTTCAATCAGAATCCGGTCCAAAAAACACCACTCCTTCGTTTAGTTCTTCCACAACAGATTCCAACACTACTCCACAAGCTCAAATTCAAACACATCCCAATACAATGAGCAAAGAATTCAAGGTTTACAAAAGAAGAAAAGTTGGGAATATATTTTTTTGATAGAGAGGGGGGAGACCCTTCCAGATCAAGAAAAAGTTGGGAATATAGAGACCAATATGCAAGGAAAGGACTGCTCGAAAGCTGCTCTGATCCCTTTTAACCTTGAAAGATCATAGAGTATGAATTCTATGACTCATGAGTTAGAATCTTTGTCCCTTGATGATCTTTACTTACCTATTGCTCATAGAAAAGGTACCGTAACTTGTACAAATCACCCTATAGAAAGGTATGTTTTCTTACGAGAAACTTACACCAACTTTCCGAGCATTTGTCTCTTCTCTTGATTTGACCTGGTACCCGCAAACATCAATGAGGCCATGAAACACCCAAATGGAAAATGGCAGTATAAGAGGAAATCAATGCTCTTGAGAAAAATGGCACATGGGTTCTCATAACACATGGAAAGCAGACTGTTGGATGCAAATCAATCTTTACCATCAAGTATAACTCAATGCGAGTATTAACAAATACAATGTTGGGTTGGTAGCGAAGGGGTTCACTCACTCATAGGGCATTGACCACCAAAAAACATTTACACTTTTAGCTAAACTTAACACCGTAGAAGTTTTAATATCACTTGTTGTCAATTGTGATTAGCCCTTATACAATTGGATATAGAAAATGCATTCTTACACAGGGAACTCAAAGAAGTGTATATGGACATACCACCGGGAATGAAGAAATCTTCAAGTAGCCGAATTGTTTGCATATGATTAAGTCACTAAACAGCCTGAAACAGTCACCTTGGCCACAGTTCGATAGATTTGCAAACAGATTGTCAAACATGGATACACTCAAAGTCAAGCTGGACATACCTTGTTCATAAAGTTTTCTTTAACAAGAAGGTCATTGATTCTCATTATCTTTGTGGATGACATAATCCTAACGGGAGACGACTTAGAAAAATCTCAAAAATAAAGACACTTCTTGCATTGAAATTTGAAATCAAAGGTCTAGGACCTCCCAAATGCTTTTTGGGAATGGAGGTGGCCTGATCCAGAGATGGAATGTATGTCCTACATCTTAAGAAAGAAATCGAAATGCTTGGGAGCAACCTGCACATACTCCAATGGATCCAAACTTGAAAGAAAACAGTTCCCTAACCTAATGCGGCGGGTTCGGACCGCAAGGAACCGTAGCATGGGGGCTTATCACAGTGGTGAACTGATTCCGATAAAAAGGGGAGTTATCGCTAGATTACTAGGCAAACTAATCTATCTCTTCCACACCAGGCCTAATATTGCCTTTCATGTCAGCATTGTAAGTCAACATATGAACAGCCCTTGTGAGGAACATTTGGAAGAAGTGTAGCACAATCTATGTTATTGAAAAATGACAACAGGTCTTAGCTTGCACTTTAGAAAACACAGCAGCCGAGACTTAGAGTTAGAGGTCTAGATAGATGCTAGTTCAGGCGGAGAGCTAACAAAAGGAGATCGACCAGCAGCTACTGCACCTATGTGTGGGGAAATTTGGTAAATTGGTGCAGCTAAAAACAATCTGTGGTCTCAAGTAGCAGCGCCAAGTCAAAATATCGAGCACTACCCTGGGCATATGTGAAGGAATATGGATAAGAAGGCTACTGAATGAGTTAAGAGCAGAATGTCCCAAGTCAAATAGAATGTACACCGACAATGAAGCTGCTATAAGGTTGCCGGTCCATCATGATAGGACCAAACATGTTGAAATAGACGGCATTTCATTTATGAAAAAGTGAACTCAAAAAGCATCCAACTCAAATTCATTTCTACAAAGAAGCAGATTGCCGACATCCTAAAAAAGGCACATCCTATAACAAGCTTTTAAGAATTCAACTCCAAGTTGGGTTTGCACAACATCTACAACTCAGCTTGATGGGGGTGTTGGAATCCTAATTTATTTGTATAATATTTCCTAGAGATATTGTATCTTTTCCTTAGTTAAGAGTTTCTATTATTCTCTGAGATTCATTTGATTCATTTTCCTTGTTTTAAGTCGATTTAGGTTTTCCCTTTTCCTGTATATATACCTCACTTGTATTCCCCTTCAAAATACGAAAATTTCATCTCTCAATTTCTACACTTCCTTCTTGCAGGCCTATCATAAGTACTAAATATGCTTTATCTGGTACCAAATCACATGCAGAGAATTCTCAACCAAATAAACCCGGTTCATGTGCATTGTGTCATATGCATATAATCTAACATATATGCTAATTTCCCCACATTGTAGCCTTATTACCTGAAAAGTACTGCGCCACCTGGTGTGCCTTGAAGCCAATAGAAAATAGGGAAGGCACACTCAACTCTCAGGTCTCTCATAATTGGTAAAACATCAAACCATCATCATGCCACAAAGCATCTTCTTCATTTGGTCCTCTTACCATTATCAACGACTATTACAACACTTTAAAGTGGCCACATGGCAATCATAACCAGGCCAAAATGCCAACATATACAATGAACAAAACCATCTAACATGACAGTAAAGGAGTAAGAAGATCATAAACCGGTAGCAACAATGTCAAACTTTTTAAGACGGCAAAGATAACTTCTTTTCCCACTCTTTGTGAAGTAACAAGCTCCAAACTGSAATAAGTTTTTTGTGGATTTGTAATGAGCATTTCCTATTTATTCTGTGAAGTAACAAGCTCCAAACTGAAATAAGTTTTTTGTGGATTTGTAATGAGCATTTCCTATTTATTCTTTGATTAAACAAGCTACGATGTTCAGGCATAGGTCTCACCCTTTAGAGGAACACTTAGATACAGCACTGAAGATTTTGAGATTGTGTTCAAGATGATAATCTTTTCAGTACAGCACAGACTAATTACAAACTAAAATTAAGAAACAGTACTGTGCTATATGAAGAGGTAACTAGTGCAAATATCCAATACTCGTAGTTAGCAATCTAATGCTAGAAAAGGCTTATTATCAAATGCAAAGAAATCCACCTCAAGTTCCACAACAGAGATTGCCCATTGCACTGTAGATGGCTTTCCCACGATGATGACTCAGATTGGACAACGATAACCATATCAGAAAGTGCCTTCGCCTGATAATGTTTGTCCACTAACAATGGTTCACCGTGAATAAACCAGAAAACTGGAACTTCTAATGTGGACCTACTATGAGCATGCGATCCTGCAATTACAAAAAAGACAGACTTTTTCATGGAACTAAAGTAGGTGTGAATTTACAAGCTGCTAGTTTAGAATTTCCAGTAACTTTAAATAAAACAATGGTGCTTGCCATATACGAACAAAAGATGATATTGACTACTATAACATCTACATTGACAACTCATGTAATGAATTTCACCAAACATCCAATTTCCTAGAATCAACATATGAAGTAGAGAATTGAGCGTAGAATATGGAAGAAGGAAAAGGAAACAAAAGAACCATCATTTTTTCCCAAGGATGATATACAACAAGAACCTTTAAGAGAACCATGATCACCCAGTCTCTGCAACTGATGCTGTAGAATTGAAGAATCAAGATATGAACGGACATTTCTCCTAAATGTTCCATTCACAAGCAGCATAGGTACGGCGGCAGCTCTTCGAGCTACGGAAAAGGCCATTGCCAAGGCAGGATCCTCTGAAAGTGGTAACCTGGAAATCATTATACAGGCCAAAGCCAGCAGTTAAGAAATTGTAATAACCTAAGACGGGATCATTTAGAGAATAAAAGTTTTCAAGTAATTAGATTGTATGTGTATATGGACGTGTGCAGCATTATCAAGATCATATGCACCTGATGTCAAAACAAAAACAAATTTAGATTGATTAAGGTGAACATACATGTGCTGACTGAACATAGGTTTCTGAGAAGGTAAAAGTAAAGAGGAAAGCCCATCCATGATAGCATTGATATCCACAGGCAAATACTTAATATGTCTGACTTTCTGCATTTCAGAAACAAGAATTAATTCAAATGAAATTGTGTGAATAAGTTTTCATCTTATGAATATAAGTTTTACCTCCTGTGTGATGAAAAACAACTGGAAGGATATTTTATCATAATGATGGAAAGCCCCATCAGCAATGGAAGGTGATATAATGTGCCTCATAGAGCCCCATAACGTGGCGCCCATATGTGCAAGGAAAGTATCACGTGCAACAGTGTAGTTGTGGAATTCCTGACAGAGAAGCACTTGGGATGTAAAACTGAGAGTTGTATCAGTTCATTGTACATTGTATGCATATGGTATTTATCGATTCCACGTAGAAAATATATCATGTGTAACCAAAGTATACCTCATAAGTATTATCACTGAACAAATTCCAGCTCTCCATCCTTTTTAAAGCATCTATAGCCTTTTGTTTATGGCTTTCAACAGACTCGTCACTTTCAAAAGACTGGAGCTCGGTTTTTAAGTCTCGCATTCTCTCATCAAGCTCTGAAATAAAATTTTATCGTAAAAAGGATTACAAAGTTATTGAAAGTACCAATCATAAATTGGATAATACATCAGTGGAAAGAATAATCCCAAGAAGATAAAGCTCCAAGCAGACTCCGATTTCATTACTGTAGCACTCCATATAAATTCTAGGTGCGTTTGGTATGCAGTCTGGGTGGGACGGGTTGGTGTGCCATGGGACAAAAATGAGATGGGACAACATGGGACAATTCATAGGACTATTCTTGAGGTTTTTTGTTTCACCAAAAAAGGTGGAACAACATGGGACTAAATTTGTTATTATTTCATATCAATACAAAACCTCTTTTCTATCAGCCTCCATTTCCACGAGTTTTCTTCTTCCAACCTCCATTTCCGCGAGTTTCTTCTTCCAGTCGAAACCCTCCATTCCAGCCTCCATTTCAGGTACGATTTCTCCTCAATCTTCCATGGTTATCGATTTCTCCTCAATATTCCATGGTTATCGATTTCTCCTCTTTTCTATCAGGTACGATTTCTCCTCTTTTCTTCCAGCCTCCATGTCCACGAGCTCGAAACCCTCCATTTCAGCCTCCATTTCAGGTACAATTTCTCCTCAATATTCCATGGTTATCGATTTTTTGACTGTTGAATATCATTGTTCTAGGGATGATTATACTTCTATATTGATTTCTGACTGTTGAATACCTAGCATTGCTTCTGTATCATCTCTTGCTGGGTTTTTGTCGATTTAGATTGTGTTACAGATGCAATACCAAAATTTTCCATTTATGGCAGTTGCTAATGAGTTTGTGTTATTTATGAGTTATCACTTAGACATTTGGCAAATCAGTTTCTGAAGTGGAATTATCCATTTGATCATAGAAGTTAAAAGTGGTCTCTTTTTTAAACTATGTACGTATTTACAATTGTTGTGTTGGAATATTTTTAAATTATGTACGTTTTTTACAATTGTTGTGTTACAATCATATATACAAATTCATAAAATAGTATAAGTATCATAGATGTAATTATTTAAATATATTTTGGTTGATTTGTGTCATTTACAATCATTACATGATGTAAAATAACATTAAACATCATTTAGGGGCAATCTGGTCATTTTAACAGTTTTGTCCAGTCCTATTCTAGTCGTACCAAACGTAGGACAAACAATTTAGTCCTGTCCAGTCCAGTGCTGTCCCATCCAGTCTGCGTACCAAACGCTACCTAAAAGCAACGAGTCCATATTGTGGATTACCTTCACAAAGAGCAAGCTTCACCCTTCTTCCCCAACAATGTTTGAAAGCAAATAGCTCATATATATCTATCTCTGCTAGAAGGATATCAATGGCTTGATGCTCTTTCTGGCAAATTGAAGTACAGCATATGTTAGGCATATGATAATCATAACGGAAACCTTACTTCCACTAAGATAGAAAGAATTCAATCGAGAATCATAAACTTCTTGTCACAATTCTTATTCTCTATTCAAAGTTATTGACACAGAAGAATCTATAATCAACTATTCTCAGTAACATCGAAGAGATATTCAACTTTAATGCAAAATATCCATCTAATTCTCATGATAAGGAAAGATCTCTCTGTTTTCTTCTCATTTTTTACTTTTAATACTCCTTCAATGAAAATGCAATTTATTGATTTTTATGAGTGGGGCTTGGTCAAATGTCTTAAGTATACCCTACCATCAAAACATGAGTGTATGACTTTAACTTCTAGTTTTCAAAATAAAGTAAAACTTATGGGCCAAAATCGATACAAGACAGGTATCTATAATGATACTTTTGGAAAACCAGGTAATATCAGCTCAAAGTTTGCTGAAAAGGAAATGTTTCAGTTAGGAGCCTTTTACCAAACACTTACCCGGTAAGTGCTTACCGGTAAAATTTAACACTACCACTTACTTACCGGGTAAGACTTTAGTCCACTAAAACGGCATTGTATGCAACAACCCAACAAGCGCTTACCATGGTAAGAGTCGTCGCCCTCACTTACCGGGTAAGACTCTCGGTTCTTGTCTAAATCGGCATTGTATGCAACAATTTACCCAGCAAGCGCTTACCATGGTAAGAGTCGTCGCCCTCACTTACCGGGTAAGATTCTCGGTCCTTGTCTCCCTCTTAACGGGTAAGATTCTTGGTCCTTACCATATTCATCCGGTAAGGTAATGTGACTTGGTAAGTCTTACCCGGGTGAATGTTTGGTAAACGGCCCCTTAGTATGACACCCTAAAATGAAAATTATTTTAACATTCATAACACAAAGACTTGCCGTGGTAAGGAAGAAGGGGGGGACAGGCACACTTGGAGAGCGCAGTACAACGGAGAGTTGTATGCTGCGTTCGGGAAGGATGAATCGCTCCCGAAATTAACTTTCAATTATGAATAAATTTGAGGCCCCTCTTTAGTGATTATCTATCCTCAATCATGTATAGCAAAAGGAAGCAACAGAAAAAAACTGTTCCATAAGTTATGCAGGCGATGCATTTTAATTCACAAAGGCAGGACATCAATTTTACTTTCTGCATGCTATAATGCCTTGCGGTGACAAAATTGATATTCTCCATAGTCTAATATCAAAAAGTTCACTAAATCCAGCACCATTACCTAATTGATCAATCTAGAAACAAAAACATAATGTGATACAGAACTCCGTAAGCCACAAACATACAAAAGACTGGTACCCAATGATAAAACCAATGGGATGCTTGTAGGAGAAGTCGACATTAATGAACTTCGTCAATCATAAATTGGATGGCTGAAAATTAGTGTAGCTTCCAAATTTTCAACATTCAAACAATTAAGCATTCGACAATGCCTACTATGAAGATATCATGCAATATTTTTAAGGGTTAGTCTTGAAGAATGATTTCATAATTGCACAATAAACAAGTGAGATTCAGGCACAAAACCTCTTTAGTTATCCCAAGCAAGCTCTACCCACCTGAAGAAGCCCAAATAAGCAATGTTCTTGTAATCGCTCGCTTAGTCAAATCAACTTTATTTGGTAAGACATCTAATATTATGACATAAGCTTAGTTTTAGTATTTAGCATGTTTAACTTATTAGTGATGATTAAGATAAATGGTGAAGCACCCTACAATAATCCAGCATCCACCATATATCCTACATTATGGACTAAAAATGGTGGCTCTAGAAGCTGATATTATACCACTTTTTTTACGAAGATGTTTTAGGCTATTAGCTATAGCTACCAAAGTAAACCCCTTCCTTGGTATTGTAAACACACTTTTTATCATCTGGCAGAGCATCTCATAACTTCATTCCCTCTATCCTATTAAAACATGTCCATGTATCTCTTTTTCACATTGACATGCATCAAACCTTGGATCTCATCTACAAGCTAACATCCCAACTAGATACCTCATATATAATTTGGTATTTGCTGCAAATGATTTCTCCAGCAAATGGATTCTACCGAACATGAAGTGTCCCTTGAGAAGAATAGTAAGATCTTTCCCCTTGCTGATGTGTCATCCACAAGGTGTAAAAAGGTTTCTCTTGCCTATGTAATGGTCCTCAACATGTAGAAGGTTTCCCCCAATATGTAAAACAATTCCCTCAAATGTGACAGGGATCCCCCTAAACTCTTAAGACATTCCCCACAAAATGTTAATGGGTTTCCCTGTACTGTCGTATTAAGTGCCTGTTAGAAGCAAATGCATGCCATGACTTGCACCAAGCCTTGTTACCTGATACCACATAAATGTTCAAGTACAAATACAAATATAATTCTCTCGTACACAAACAAAGGTCAAGAAAACTTTGTTATCTAAACCATAACAATATAAGTAAACAATTTCTTAGTAGGTCATAACAGCATAGGGCACAAAGATTCTGTAGACATACAAACAAATTAGCATCTCGAAGATATCATGTATAGTTGATAAGATTGTGGTTAAAACACATACATCTCCAAATGCAGCAAACTTCTCCTGGATCGCATCTTGCAAGTGATCTTCAGCCTCTTCTTCCGAAATTTCTGATAGCAACAAAGAAAGCATAACTTGTAAGCACAAAAAGGCAAATGCTAGCTCAATAGATTGCTAGTAATAAGACTTCAGCAAGGTGTTTATCAGCACCATGTAAGATGGAAGATTTAATGACCGCTCCTATCATACCAAGTAAAATGCACCACAGTACCAAGTAGCATTTATTTGGCACTGAGATTTATAGGGAACTTACTTTTATTACAGAACCATGGATATGGGCTTGGCTGAGATAAAGAATAAACTCATCGCATGGTGATTAGAATCAAACAGAAGGTCCCTATCAGCTTCCCTAAAAAAGCAACCACAAATTATATTGGTTTTCCTATCTTAGTTATACTATTGTTACTGGTCCAACAGGGTCAAGATATTGAAGCCTGTGATAAGGTGAAAACCAAGGCAAGACGAATTGTTATCCGAAATTTAGGCATGTTTCACAAAATACGCAGTTAACAAGGAAATAAAACCAAGAATTATGTATAGCATACACACATGACGAACTTCAACATGCAACCACAATTGCGTGTACAACATAACTCAGCAAAGTCATAAACCTTGCTTAAACTATTCTCCATCAGCCACAGGAGAAAGCCATGATTATATGAGGCTGACTCTCATGCAACCAAAACGTCAAATATTATAACTGGAAAACCTGGATAGCTAATTTAGAAACGACTATGTGCATCCACAAGGTTCTAAGATAACAATATGTATAGATTCTTGGGAACCATTTAATTTCTATCGACCAGGTTATGACTAAACCGAGGACTATGCTGGAAACCGTAATAAACCCCTAAGAGGAAATACATGTCAGAATGACAGAGGTATCATATATATGTAACAATACTTCTCAAGTTGGAGCTGACATCAAACATGTACAACTTAGCACATAAGGATCAGCATGTGCTCTCCACAAGCATTTTCTCAAGATGACAACCTGGCGTCTATAAAGTACTCAAACTGACACAATACGACACAAGTGGCAATCAACCTCAACAGGCTTGAGCAAGTAAGTGAAACATCTAATTCTCAGGTGTTCATGGTTGCTTTATCACACTAAATTCTCATCAAACCACATCCAAGATCTCTAGTTATTGTATCAAACAACACACCCATGTTTTACAAGCTTTTGTGACGCAGCTTGGAATTCTGGCTTAACAATGGAAATAGAGATCTTGTAGTACCCAGTCGTGGATCTCCACATGGAAATACAGCATTAGTCGCATCTAAATAATCAGTAACTAAGGGATAAACTCAAGACTCTCTAACATGCATACGAAGTGCCTATGGCAGAGTGCTTTTATATTGCAGCACTACAATTGATTCGTGTTCTTGCAAGCTTATCCTCTAATGGGTCTAAACCAGCCTAACTCTATCCAATAACTAGTCCACAGGGAAGAAATGAACAAACACATAGGGTTATAAATTGAACCAAGTAGCAAGAACATAAGGACGCCCTAATAAAATCCTAAAGTTACGCAGTAATACCATGTAAAATTGTAAGGTTTCTATCTAGAGCGATTTGTAATACCATATAATATTGTACAATATGATTATCAGTAAGTTCTTATTTTCCATTAACTAAACTAAGAATAATAAGACATAAAGCATGCCAACGGACTGAAAATAAGGGCACCCCTAATAAAATCCTAAACCACATACATAGCAAATCGGCAAATGTCTTTTTGCTAATAAGATCTATGTAATATGATACTTGCTCCTCAAGGATGCTAGAAAATAGGTTGTCTAACATGAAAACCCAAACATAAGCAATCTGAGAAGTGGCAAAGTTCAGAGACAAACAAAGTTTTAGATACGAGTCATGGTTTCATCAGTAAACTTTTGGGATTCTGAAGTCCAGGAGGTCCAAGATTGTTCAGTGAGCGATCTCTAAATCCTAGTTCACTGATTAGTTTCTATGGAACTCCTAGTTCCCCTCAAAACCTTTTACTCCCATTTATGATCTTTTAGACATCTCCAACCTCATGGTGTTTCCTCCATTATACGGGTGAGCTATATGAAATACATGCTTCAATAGCAAGCTTCTCATCATAATGAGGTGAAACAGACCAGACGCACTGGTTACTTGATTTTCAATGACAGAAAGTGAATGAAAAAACAACTTTAGGTTGAGAATGATAAGGGAAGCATAGAGTTTGACATGCAAGGAATGCGGTAGCTACCAAAATCATGAAGTAAATTGATCATAAAATGGACAAGCAGACAGTCCGACAGGTCCCAATGGTTATGAGTGCGAGTATTACAAATGATCTTTGCTTGCTTTCACGTCTCTCATACTAAATCCAGGCAATAATAACCAACATCTGCCTAGAACTGTACGTAGTAAATGAAGCTAACCAACAGCATTCGCTATAGATGACAATCCTTTCATGAACCACCATAACAAAGGAATGCATAATTTGTCAAACCATGAAGCCAGTAAAAGCACCCTCATCTCACCATACCCAGAATTATGTTTTAATCGTGTTTCAACAGTTCTTATAAACGAACATGCCAACTTCTCTTGAGAAGAAACAAACGTTTCAATAAAAAGGAATAGGAAGCAACAGCAAGAATCATATGCATAGCAAGTAAAATTGCCCTCAAGACTTCGTAGCGGTTCAGAAACAACTTTCTCTAACCCACATTCCAGAAAGGAAATTCAACTGGTGCTATCAGCATGTTTATGGAGTTTATTATACGGAGTGCCAACAAAAATCCCACCTAGACCCAAAGGCCATCGACATTCCAGCAAAATGACAAAATGTTGCTCAAGGTAATTCCGTATTTTGCTACTAGTATAGTACCTGCAACTGCACCTATTGTTTTTTCCACATTCGGCAAGCTCAGTTCTGTACGCACGCCTTCTCCACCAACAGCAGGTCCCCAAGAGAAAGGACCTGCACTTAAATCAATAAACGCCCACCTGATAAGAGTAAAGAAGAGGTAAGACATCTATGGGAAGAGAGAGAGGGGGGATAGGAAGGGAGAGCAAGGAAAGGAAGAAGGGGAGCCTTTACCTGTCTTTTCCAATCCATGTATCTGTAAGACATTCTGGATGGAGACCACTCAAATCACCAGATTTCAAATCCTTTGCCAATTGAAGCTTCATGTCCTCATTTTTTCCATTCAACAACTTCAAACAAAATATGTAGTACATAATTAGCTTTGCAGTTACGAAAAATTGGCAGATAATGAGCCTCTTTAAACATTATATATCTCTGCTATTTAGAGTACATGACAAACCTGGATAACTTTTGATTGAATAATATCAGCCACGTCTTTCTCTTGGTAAATCCTCTCAACATTGTTCAAAGCATTTAGGCAACTATTATACCACTCTATCTGACTTGTAATAAAGAGCATGTTAGACCAAATGAAAAATAGCAATAATTGCTAAGCTTTTACACAAGTCAAAAAATTCTTAATTTAATCCTTGAGAATTTTGAAATCATCACGTCAACACAGCCATGCAAAATGGTAAAGAAGATAAAACAAACAATTAAGGCATGGTTTGGCAACTACAAATTTGGTTTTTGTTTCTCATTTAAAAAAAGGAACTCTGAAAAAAAAGTGTTTGGTAACTGCTTTCATTTCTAACAAAGAACAAACAGTTATTAAAAAGATAAGAACACAAGGATTGTTTGCATTCTCATTTTAAAAAAGGAACTCTGAAAAAAAAGTGTTTGGTAACCGTTTTCATTTCTAACAAAGATCAAACAGTTTTTAAAAAGATAAGAGCACAAGGATTGTTTGCATAATCTTGACTTTGATGTTTTCAAACATTTGTAAACAGGTTTCAGGAAGAAAAATAACACGGGTTTGACTTTATAGGCTTAAATAAGGCTGGGTTTCAAACCTCATTACTGACAAATCTGATTTTTTATTTAGATACTTCAAATTTCTCCCCTAAATTGAATGGCCTCTTCTCAGCGTCTTCACAATTGAAGAAATATCTTCATTGTCTTCTCCATAGCCTTCTCAATTGAACAACTGTTTTTCACCGTTTTCAAGCAGTGACACAGGTAGTCATCTTCTCTAACTTCTTTAATAAATATTTTTATAGACTCTAGGCTTTCTTTGTCATAAGCTGTTGTTTCATTGATTGATCAATTGATACTACACAAAAATCTATCAGGCTTCAAGACCTGGTAAAAAATTATGGTGTTAATTAAGTGCCAATGGTTAATGCTAAGTATTTAACTCGGTCTTGAGTGAAAAGATTATCTTCATAAAGTTGCATGATTTGATCAGTCTAGGGGAACAATTAGCCAAGATAAGTTAAACTCTTACATGGCATAGGCTTTTGGCAAGCACCCTGTAGAGATCACACATTTCCCCTATAATTTTCAGTTGTAGACTTGTAGTAGATAGTATTTCGCCTGGTAAGTTAAAACTCTTACATTGTTCTTTTTGGGTGTTATGATACAATGTTTTTTAGGTGTTATGATATATTGTTAATTGATGATTATTAATTGAATGAGTTATGCATGCTGATGAAGAAAATCCCTGTGTACGTGCACTTTAATTTTTATTCTAATTAGGTAATTGACTATGCTTATGCTTGGCTTGATGGGTATAGCTGGCCTGTGACTATGCTTATGCTCGCTGGATATCTTATGCAATCTCCTTCCCTTGATTAGTAGGTTGTTTAACTCCTAATTGAAGCTTTCTGCATGATTTAGAAGTCCATGCAGACTCTTAAGGTTTCTACTTTTCTATAAGGTCTATAAACTACTGTTGACGATGCATCATGCATGCATATGATTTTTATCTCCAGAGCTTTGTTGGCATTATTTTCGTTGACGGGGAGCCATTATGGGTTTCTTAGCACTATCTGAGTATAGATCGTACAGTGATATATGATGTTCCAATTGATATTGATGAAGATACTCCAATCGAGTACATTATCCGTCAATCTCAAGTTCATTTAATGGTGGCATTACGAGATAAATAGTGAACATCTGGCAGACATTTGGTCATTCAGCAATATCAAAGTTAGAGTCTGAAGTTCAATGTTTGAGACATTTAGAATCTTTGGATGATGATGGATCTTAAATATTTTGATCATATAGATTCAAATGATGTAAGCACATTGTTCGATCATTACTGGCTTAACTTATTTTAAAAAGGGGTAATGACTATAGAAATAAATTTGAAAACCAAAAGAAAGAAAGAAATTGTGTCTCCAAACATGTTTTCAGTTCAGTCTTTCTTATAAAACAAAACAGTCTTCACCAAAAGCTATATATCAATCGAAAACAAAAATCACACATTGTTTACATTACAAAATTTCATGAACAGAAAATCAAGAGCGTGATAGGTGCCAGTTGAAGCCTGGATGCTTTAGACAACACAATATGATAGAGGAAATGCATTACGTACTAAAAAGTAATGAATTGACCACAAAAAATATACATATATAATCCCATGGGACTTGACAACCATGTTATTTAGTTCCATAGAAGTGAGAGACATAAAGGGTGGGGGACCCAAATGTTTCTATCTCTCTCCCTTGTTTGTGGGAGGGAAACAATTTCATTCATCTCTTATACATATATACAAACCATTACATAATTTGCGATATGATATGTTATTTGTTCACCTTTCTGCAGGCCTTCAGAATGAACTTTTGGTTGTGGTTATGATCCAACCAAGTTCCCTAACAATGTAAATCCTAACTAAAATCAGCACATTTAATTCGTCATTGCCAATGTTCGGGTTGTGATCGATTAACAAAGATCAAGTAATTGGCTGATAGCAACAAAAACAAAATGGAACATTATTATCAAGAGTCAAACAGGTGATCAGGATTATCCAACAACTCAACTTATAATCATAGTACTACATTTCCATATACTTACATGTTTACATCACTCTTCCCCACCACCACCTACCCCACCTAGGCCCTCACCCCAACCTCTCTCTCTCCCCCACACTTGCCGCTGTCTCATATACACCCCTTTGATTTTGTCCCACCCATGATAGAAGTTATAAACTAGTTAAATGACATTTTTTTCGATGGGCAAGAATTACAATATTTGCTCTTTGACATACATTGTCTTCAAACATTAGTTAGAAATGTAATGGTTATTAGATTATAAAATTCCTATATCAAAAGGAAATAATGTATAATTTTCCTGGAAGTAAAAGATTAAAAATTACAATATTTATAAAACATACATAAATATTTGCTTTTTTGCAATCTTATTCATGTAAAAAGTATATTTTACTTTGGAGCAAATCTTATCAGAAAATGATAAATAATAAAACAAAAACATACATGTTAGGAACCATTTTCTTATAACATCTTGATGCTATAAATTCTCAAATGCTACTTATGACAAACAATATAATACTCCTGATTCAATATTTTTGTTACTTAAATGTAGTTTAACTTTAGCTATTTGTTTGTATTTGTTCTTGTCAAAATCCTGTTTTAATGAATGAGAAAAGATATAGAAAAAAGGTGTTTGGCTCCAACATAAGTTGACAGATGATCCATACATATTTTACCTGTTCTAAAAAAACTACTATTTGACCCATTATCCAGTTGGACCTAATTCGCCCAGTTTCCATCTCTACTAAAAATGATGGCTTAACCAGATATCAATACAACTGCCACTTAAGGTCCTAACTCAAGAAGCATGCATGAAGAGAACTGGTATATCAACAAAAATGTATGCAGATATTTCATATATGTGTGTATGTGTGTTCTCACAGATGTGTGTACGCCATTGCCAGACAGACAGTTTATATCGTCACTGAGTAATTGATCTATTTACACCTTGTAAGTAGTTGATTGTCAATCAACAAGAACGAAAAAGACTAGACAATCTTTTTGCATTAACATTTTTAATCTTGGAGGGCTCAATCTGAGAACTGACCGTGTCGGTTTCTTCTGTTATTGTCCAGGAAAACTTTGCCATTGGATGCTTTTCGTACAAAGGTCTCTTGATTTTGTCCATAGCTGACCATAGAGTTGTTTCTTAGAACATTTAATGCAAAATATACATAAAGCTAGACAGTAGTATATCTGTGCTTTGAAAATATTAGAAGGATAACATAAGCTGTTACACACCAAGAGGATTTTCTGTGATACTTCCTGACCGAAGAATTTTGTCTTGTAAGCTCTTATCCTGCATGCAAGAATATATACGGTCACTTACCCGTTTCTTTGATTACAAGTTATCAAGAGTCCCCAAGAATACTTGATAGTTGAACAAATTAATTAATTTCTAACTACTGCTAGAGTAGTTAGACTAAGAAGTTCACAACTGAACTGAGAAAACAGAAAAATTATAAATATATTACACTACCACATCGTATGTGCATGTTTAGCCAATAAAATTTACAAGTAAAATAAAAATAACTTAGAATTTGAGATCATATGACAAAGGTCCAGTGAAGATATACATTTAAAGGCTACAAGGTAAATGAAAGTACCTCCTTAAGTAAATTTATTTCACTCTCTGACAATCCCCTCCTGCAAAATTTTATAGCAATATCAACAAGAATTATGCACATGATTGCACTCAAGATGGAGTCATGCATATTCAATATTACAGCATTTACCTCAAAAAAATTGCATAGTTTCAAGAAGCAAACAGCCACACCAGTCATAGGTCTTCCTAGTGGCTAAGAATAATATTATGCATATTCAGCAGTACAAAAGGTAAGAACCAATTGTGTAGGAACAAAACATTAGGTAGTGGGCCATGGCTTTTGAGATTCTCATTACCTAGACCCAAAATTAAGATGGGAAGAGAGTTATCGAATTGAAAATTCTCATCTTATTAATATGATTAGCAGTAGTTTTATGAGGCTTATGTTAAGAATCAGGTTTTCATCTTCTAGACTAATTGCCAAATTTTGATTTGAAATATTATGCAAATTAACTTATGATTAGTTAAAATTTATAGATATATAGACCTGTGCGAAAGAAAATGAGTTTGATCAAAAATAAAACAAGTTAAAATTTAATCTTACCACAAATGGATAACAACCATAATGCAGTAAGATTTTTATCATAAAAACATACTTCTAAAAGAAGGTATGCATAGTAGCAAAAGAACAACTCCATGCTTCTATAGGGCTTTCAGAAACAATCAAAAAAAAAAATTAATTTGTGTTCCTATCATTTTGTTTGGTTAATGCAGGCACCAATTTCCCTAAGGTAGACCCTGATGCACCAAGGCTTCTTGGCTTAGCAAGGGCTTGAGATAAGTCTTTGTATAATCTCTTTCCCTTTTACGTCTTGCAAAGAGGTTCTTTCTATGACTAGAGACCAGGAGCTTCCATTAACAAGGAAGTAACATTATGATTAGTTCCAAACAATGCCCTGCTAGAGTTTCACTACGTCCAACAACTTTGAATGTCTCTTTCAATACATCTTAATCTTAGAGCAACAGTGACACGTAACTACATAAGCACTACCTTATTATTGTTATAGACCTTACAGAAATAGCATGCAAAACATTGTAAAACAAATGCACAAAGTGACCGCACATAGACAGATCCTTGTCTAGCAAGAGTCAAACTAGAGGAAGCAAAAACAAATTTAAATTACACGAATAAAAATAAGAACTAGTATGAAAATAACAGAAACAATGAATTATGGAGGGGGGCAGAGTGATGTCTTCATGAGAATAGAGCATATAGCTTGATTCAAATGTACAAGTTTAGATGAAAAGTGTAGAAAGAAATATAGCAACTACCTAACCATATAGCCTCTCCAAAGTAGGGAAGAACAGATAAAGAAAATTATCGAACCAAATACGCACCTATAGCCATATTTACCTCTCCTTGCATCACGTTTAGGATTCAATATGAAAATATTATATGCATTTTCCAGGTCAAGATATTCCACCAGGCTGGTGAAGAGAACATCCATCATGTCTACATCCACTTGCCAAAGACGGTCATCCCTTCAAAGAGAATAAGTTATCAATTAGGATGGTGAAAAGTTAATCACATGTTACAAACCACTACCATGCTAACAAATCTTGTTTAATTGGTCTAATATCAAGGTGAAACAATGCTTCATTTTATCAATAAGCTATAGAAAAGAATCAGAAGAGGTTGGAAAGTAGAATTAAAAAATTGATGCAGAACAGATTTTCACACTTATGATTAACCAAGGCATTGCATTAAGAAAGTTTCAACCACTGGAACAAAAAATACCTAATAGACTATGTGTCAGCGCATAATAAATCTATAGATTGGCAAACACTGGGAAATGCATCATTACAGTTAAAGCATCGAACCATGATTCGACTACGAAAAGAGAACCTAAAAAAACTAAAGTAAACCATGTACATAACAAAGAGAACCTGAATATATTCAAAAAGACACTACATTCCTCTATACTTAACGTGAGAACCTAAATTTCAATAATATTCACCAGAATGACACAATTTAATTGAGAAATGACAATTATAAGTAGTTCTTCATTTTTTCATTAATTCATTTTTTTCTGTCAAAATGTTCACTTTCATCCAAAAATTCTAGCACTTGCCATCTTATCGGGTCAACTACAAAAGAGCTCTCAACAACGAAGACCACAAGCTTACAAAGACCAAAAAGAACATCATTGTTGGTGATGGCAAGGGAAAAAATCAATATATGAAAGCATAACAAAACAAAGAAACTACCACGATAGATCATATTTCATTTTAAACCAGTGAACGTCCCCAAAAAGGTGTTTCATGGAAGTGAACTTAGTGTCTGCATGGTACAATACCATATGTGATACACAACCATTTAGGTGAACAACCGGTCTTATTCTCTTGGCCCCTATATGCACATTCTACAAACTTGCTTCAACTAATATCTGGTTATAAAGTAAAAAAGTAGAATATTCTTTTTGTCTAATTGGACGAATATAGACACTATTTTTTACTTAACTTGGTGGTATCTGTAACTGCCTATCTTGCATGTACCAGTTTGTAGTTTGGGTGTGTAAGTGTTCATCAATGGAGAAATTGGATGCAAAGCAGTGTGGGTGCAGCAAATATCTAATTATAATATACACACAGAGATATACATGTTTAAATATAGATGTGAATATAAAAAGATAAAAGCAAAGCATTGAACCACTGTATTAATCAAGTTAGTCATTCAGAAGTAAAGGGGTAATGTGCAATATTTTCAAGGTTTATTTGAGGAATCTCATCTATAAGCACAGATAATTTCCGTTAACTTGATCTGTTGTTAATATATAATATTTGAGACACATAATATATAGAGAGGTATAAACCAAAGTAGACTTAGAATGTGGGCTGAAGAATACTGGAGAAAGAAACATGCAAACAATGTTTTTATTGCTGAGATATGAATCTTCTTCTGTGGAGTTCCACTGCCAGTGAGCAGTGCCAAGTGCCAACAAATCTTGAATCAGATCATTCTAGAGCCTCATGTTTAGTTTTCTGGTTGTCTGCATGCATGTGTTTCTCATTATCTATTACTTCACAATCAATGACACTGCCAATCTGCCACCCATCCCATCTTTTTTTTCTTTTCTTTCTTAGTAACACAAATTAAATCATTTGTTTTTATAACTAATGTCACTTGGGCATAAGTTCATATCTGTGTCTGCGTGTTCTTTGCATACACCATCCATGGTTGTTTTTGCGTATTCTCCTGGCTATAAGCATCACAGCTAGAATCAGCAGTGATCTCATGGATAAGAGCTCTAGCATCACAATATATGTACAGAAAAAGATATCAATCAACAACCCAGCCAAAATAAATCACACACAGATCCTCAGAAGTGGATCTGTATATTCTCAACTAAGATTCATAGGCCTGCTTGCATTGTATCTTCTTTCTAGCAATTAAATGAGCTATTTTGACAGTAATATCAAAGAGATACAAGGTTGAGATTACAATTTTCATAATACGCTTGAATGGAAGACAAGGGGCCTTTCCAAACGAAAATACATTGAATATAAATAGACAGTGATGTCAAATTCAGATATAGCTATAACAATTCAAATTGCTATGTATGTTTTCTTTTAATAACATGAAAAAGACATAACTTTTGGTTCAATCAGTGCATAAACCCAGCAAACACTTATCACTTCTCCCCCCACCCAAAATAAAACATAAATAGAACATAAATAAAACTTTTTCTTGTCCACTCATTCCCCTTCTCAACTTAGCAAGTTAGAAACGTTCAACCTTTTACAAGGCCCCTTGGAAACAAGAAATTTGAATTAAATAACAATAACTATCACCAACTACATAATTAGGTGATCGCATGTTCCTGTATGGTGCATCAAACCACAAAGTGGGAAGACATTGCCACATTGGTGATGACAGTTACCTGGTATGATTAACATCATCTTTACGAGAGAGGACACCAATAGCATGCTCAAAAATGGAATTGACTTTCTCACTCATCTGGATAGCATGAACAGAGAAGCTGCAGGAATATATGAGGATGTGTATTCCCAAGGACCGCAAATTAGTATATAACAAAAGGCACCATCAAATCTTACCATTGTTAACAGAAAAACAAAACCCAAAACGAGTAGAAACATTACTTGTAATTTAGGTGACTGACAACAGGAAGATGATGATGGTGATTTCTATCTGCCCCATTTTTGTAGAATGGAGCAAGAACTTCTCCTGTTTGTGGAATCCTAGTGTGTTCGAATATATGGTCAATTTTTGTGAACCAGCGCTCAAGTTCGTCAGCATGTAGCTTAAAGACTGTATCAATATCACAAGAATATATTCACGAGCACCCAACTCTATATTAGTTCAGGAACCAAAGAGTTTAGTAACCAAAGGCAGATAAACTCAAATGTTGTATACCTTGGTTTCCACTCCCTTCAAATCCTATAAAGATGAAATTCACAGGAATTGGAAGATACAAATGTTCAACTTCTAAAATCTGTAAATAATTGGCAATATTCCCTGAGATAAAGAAACAAAGGTCATGTTTTGTTCTTTCATAAAGCCAGGGTACTCCGCACTCGTATATGATATAAGATGCCAACAGAAAATCATATAAATGTTCTGTTAGATTGGATAAGAATGCAGATTAATGTAAGCAAGCAAGAAATAATATGATGCTAGTACAAGTGTACAACAGCTGATCACTTCTAAGGGATCATAAACGTTGTCAAACCCAAAACCTAGCTCTCAAAAATCCTTGTAATGAAGTACAAACAATGAGGACAATATCTCGTTTAACCAGATTATGACCCAAGCATGGTCAGAGATTGTATGGTCATAATCACACTTCAAACCTCATATTAGAATAAGGAGCCAAAAGTAATCAATATCACAATATAATTGTTATGAAGGCAGGGAAGATATTCCCTCAATGCAACTTTCTGTTTGCACCTCTGAACAATTCTAATTTTCCTAGGAACCGTTTGTCAAGAAGTCCTTACCATTACAGAGCTATGAACAACTGAATATTAAGCTATACAAAAGTTTACGCTGCAAATACCAGGCTAGCCATCAACTATTTCCACTACCCAGCCTTGTCAACCACCTTGAAAACTGGAGTACTACTATTTTGCACATCTCAAAGAGACTTTCAGGTAGATTTTTGTGAACACCAATGACGCTACAGCGATGCTCGATGTGTTAAAAGAGTGTGCTATGACACATACAGTAGGCGACGTGTAGGCAAATCAAAATTTATGTGCTTGTTAATTAAGGTTTGATAATTTAAATAATGAAAGAATTTTGAGTACTGATGGAAAATTAGTGATGTTCAAGGTGGCATAAATTACCCAAAAGAAAGCCAAGGATCTTAAGTAATGCTTGCCTTCACCTTCCTTGACGATTAGCATAGAGATATTGTCTACTTATTAGTAGTATTCTGCAGGTAAGCTTTAAAAGGCACAAATACATTGTGGTTGATGCTTCCTAGATTACGAGCACAAGCCGCAAGGTAAAGGTCCGGTGGGGCCTAGTTGTCATGGTCCGGGTTCTTCAAATTTGAATGGCTACGGTGCACAGTTGGTGGATTCAGGAATTCTAACTTGGGGATGCACTACCATAACAAATATAAAATCCAACATAATAGAATTATACAGTTCAAAATACTAATGGATAGTTTAGAAAACAATAACATCCAATTAAAAGTTCAAAACATATGTCCAAATTAAAGTTACAATTGCTATCAACGGAGTCTTCATCCTTTAAAAGTGATTTATGATATCATCACCGCTAATTATTGAAAATACATCGCTTGAGACCGATTAACTATGCTTCATGATACCATCAAAATACAAGAGAATGCCGATAAAAATGTCAGGAGAAAGAAAGAAAATGAGTACCTGCCTTGGTGTAATTATGAACATTTGATTTTTCAACAGGAGTAGTCTTCAAATCATCGAAATCTACAAGTATCAGTCTAGATGTAATTACAATATATTAAAAGAAATAACCACATAACAAATTTTCAATAAAATAAATTCCTTTACTAAGCTAGATATAGAAAAGGAATAACTAAGAGACAGAGAAAGTGCACTATAGAAGAAAAGAAAAAGATGCTTGCATACCACTTCGTATGACAGATTCACTCCAGAACTTACTCCTCTCTTTGAGATTAAACAATGAAAATACTGATGATCGCCCAGTTTTACTGTTCCCGACCGGAGATCCATATGCTTTGCCTGCTATTAACTAGTACAAAGGGAACATAATGCAATCATCAATATACAATTGTTACAATACTACATTGAAATACTGAAATACCAACACACAATTTACCAGCCTTCACTTAAGCCCAAACAACTAGAGGAACGGTGACGGATTTCAATGTGTCCAATGACAATCAAATTTAAAAAAAAGTCCAGTGTGATCATTGTCCTCGTATGACAAAATGAACTATTGTTCAGTCGATTTGGTGTTTCCTGTCTCTAGTAGCATCCTGACTAAAGTCCAGCTAAATATATAGTATCAAGTTGTGATATCATGCTTGGGGAGAAGGGGAAGATGATGAATCTATAAAATATTAATACATCATAAGAACATAAATTAATCTTCAAAGATAAATGAAATCCACACCAAGAACCCTTTGTGTACCAAATGACTGATAAAGATTTGGTTGCAAATGACGAAACTCATAAAGTACACACAAAGAGCAACGTAGCTTCAACTCAAATTTTTTTAAATTGTGAAGAGTCCAATTTGTTAATTTTTTCTACTTGTTCCAAAGAAAAAGGAAAAAAGATCCCAATGAATGTGAATGCCAATACATAATCGAGGCTAACACTTATAACTACTACATGCATCCTTAAATATTGCAAATATAATAAAGAGAACTCGAGTAGACAAACCAAGGGTGTATAACGCTTGGCATAAAATTTTGCATGTACTTGGCTCAAGCAACGGATTATTCATGTACTAGTCTTCAACAATATGGGTGTTTTTTGGTGTTCAAACTTCTAACATCCCAACACGCAACTTTAATTGACATTTCATAGCACTTTTGAAGGTCACCGTTGATACGGACATAGTTATTGATCCAACACTTCCAGCTCGAGTACTTACTAACAGGTTTTATATAATTATCAAACGTTACCAGAAGACTCCAAGAGTTCATACCAACTGCCAAGCTGAAATTCAGTCTTTTGGTTCCTCAAAACTCAAAATGTAGATCTTCCTCAGAGACTTGGTATAAACATATCACAAACAATTTTAACCCATGGAAACCCCAAAAATGGATGATCAAAACAAATGAATTTTACTTCGCATCCAATTTACGTAGCAATTAGGATAAAAGGAATAAGAAACGAATTTTGCTTTCACTTACCAGCAGCAGCAGAAGGGAAATCAGAGGGAGGGAACGGATCAAGTGATGGATGAAGAACATCGAGCCCTAAATCAAAATCTAATTACGCAATCAAAACAGATCGAAAGATTCAGTTGATATATGTATTTCCTGGTCTAAAACATGAAGTGAGTAAGGAGATCGGCAACGACAGTGCGAGGGGATGACTGACGAAGACTATACACACCTCGTCTGCTTCGTTTCGACCGTGACTACCAACAACCCCAACAAGGTTCAGGGTTAAATGGATGTCTTTTAGTAAACTACGTTTTTAGTCCCTTTGGTTTGTTAAATATTTCCACTTTGTCTTTATATTTTGTAAATCACGTTTTTATCTTTATTTGTGTGCAATTCGTTTCCATTTTGTAAATCTTTTAGTCAGGGATAATATGGACTTTTTATCCTCTTTTATTTTTCTTCTTTATAATAAATTTATACTTTCTTATAAAATGAGAGTTACAGTTATATTAAATTTTTAAGAGGTACAACTTATTAAGCATAATATGTAAGCTTTTAAAGTTGCACAACCTCCCAAGATCTTTCATATATTGAAAATCAAATCATTTTTAATTTCTAACATTTTATGTGTTTATAATTAGTTATTTAATTTACTTTATACTCATTATTTTTTTATTTTTCATGTTACACTTTTATCATATTAACATTAATAATCGTATATGAACTAACATTTGTAAAAAGAATTTGTTTCTTTTTTTACAAATTATATCATTAAATCGTCTCATCAATGTCTTCAAAATGAGCTCAATATTTAATATTTTTGGATTTAGTCGTACTATTAAATATCAAGAATGTCTACGAATTAATTTGTTTTATATCCCATGCGTTTTCATTTTTCAATCTACACATTTATCATATTAAAAATATATAATCATAGATTAATTAAAATACGTTAAAAATGTGTCTTGTTTTATAAATTATATCATTATAATTCTCTCATCAATACCTTCAAAATAAGTTAATTATTGAATGTTTTTTGAATTTATTAATATTATAAAATATCATAAGCACGTGTGATTCTATATTGCATCATAAAAGGCCTTATATTGTTATGTACACTGCTTTATGATGCGTCACTTATGGTCATATTGAATTTCTAAAAGTGCATCTTTTAAAGCAACATGTACAACTTATTCATGCGGACAATTAAACTGCCCTTTCATCTCTTTCACCACGTTCAGCATAAATTCTTCTCCTCTCACCTAAATTTTTGTGTTCGTGTGGTCGATGAAATATATCCTTCCCAAACACCCAACACCTGAATCACATAGTTCTTCTCATCCACAAGAACTAATAAAAGATCAGTTCCCCTTGTTTGATGAATCACAAGGAACTAGGATTATGTTCAAACCTTGGAAGCACTTGGAAACCTCATATCTATTGTTTCTTCAATATGGATGACATAACACATCTATCCCTCTCTTCTTCAACAATCAAGGTTGTGCTCTCAATTGCATCGTATTTCATAGTTACAAGTTCCCAATTTCATTCTTCTAAAAAGGGGTGATTCTCATTTTGTCTTTTGATTTTGAGCAACAAGGTTTTAAAGGAATCTATATTCTCTTTAGTCATTCCCATAGATCATAAACACAAAAATTGCACAGAGAACTTACAACTTAAACCATAGGTAAGGATTCATCCTTACTTTTCTTTTCTTTTTCTTTTTTACATTCTTTCGTTTGTTTACAGCAACAGTGAGAATGGTCTTATGGTTTCTCGATTCGTCTATTGGTATGTGATTTTGTTATATAATATGCATTGGGTTTTGTTATTTTCAGTTTTCTTTTCTAAAACCACCAGCATGTTTATCAGTTTCTTTTTGTTTCATTGGGCAATGAACTATTGATGCATGCATTATTCTTCTTGAGATTTTCTTTTTGTAGTTTTTGTGATTTCTTATAGCTCTAATGGGTTATGAGTGCATTAGTAATCTAAGTATTCATTTTTTTGTGAAAGGTCTTTAGAAATGACATCATTCTTGAAAACTGTGATTAGTTGAAATCTTATTTTGTTGGTTTGATTATGTTTAATGAAGGGAATTACAAATTGGATTTATGATTTGCTAAATTAGTGAGAAAGGTTGTATGAATTAAATGTAGTGTGACACATCGTCTAAAATGAAATATGTGTGTGTGTGTGTGTGTGTTTTGATCTGCTAGATCATGTTCCTTTTTTGTGTTGACAAAGTGTGTTTTGTGAAGTAGAATATGTAACATCCAATTTCTAATATGCCAAATTATTTGCTTAGTATATTTAATCATTGGGTTAAAGAGAGCTTATGATTTAGTGGGAGTTTAGGTTTGAAGCTTTAGAATTTTATTTCTTAAGAATATATTAGAGGATTTGGAAAATATCATGTCAAATGGATACGTAAAACTGATTTTCTTGGGAGATATTTTCTGGAATATTTTTGTTGGATGTTATAGATTATCTCTTTATGATCGTGTAGGCGAAAACCTCATAGAAAACGAAGGTCCGAGCGAAAAGTTATGAATAATTAAAGTGTTGATGGTCAAAATGGGTTCCTAGCCGGGCCAACCCGGCCCAACTCGAGTTTTAGCACTATAAATTGGAGTTTTGGCCCATTTTTCTTGTCATCTAAGTCCAGAACTCACACACACTCTAGAGGTGCGATTTTCACACACATAGGCTTGATTCAACTCAAATCAAAGAGGAACTACAAGATATTTGAAGGATTTGATCATCAAGTAAGGTATAATCCATTCTTTGCACTTGTTTATGGTTGATATCCTTGTTTTATGGGTTGCATGTTGAGATAAAGTTAGGCTTTCATATGGGTCTGATCTTAAGTATTTAAAATAAGTGCATTTTAGTGTTTTTGGCATGAAATGGTCATTAGATTCAAGAGATTATCAAGATTTATGCAAGTTCATCATATGAACTTTGACTTAATTAAGTCAATGATTTGGGAGATAATGTAAATGATAAAATAAAGGTTGGATTTTGGTTGTTTATGTCAAATATGTTATATTAAGTTGAGATTCAGAAGTTGGAATGGTTTGGAATCGAAATGGTTTGAGAAAAATGTATGAAGATGATAATTTCGACTTTTGAATGCTTTGAAAGTGTGCACACTTTGAAAACATGTAGAAACTCATAGAAAAACCCAAATCAGGTGAGGCCAATTTCCTTAGTTAGATATTTGAGTCTAGTTTATTTCTTATTTTATGATCAAGGCATGATTTTGAGCTTATAATGGGCAAAACAGTTCTGCATGCAGCAGTTGTACATAGAAATTTGGGTAAAATGTTCAAATAGGATATGTGTATATCATGGGTTTCTTATATCAGTTGCTTATGAGATTTTGTACATTTACTCCAGGGGGTAATTAGGACATGTTTTGATATTTTGGAAGMAATCTAAGTGTGGTGGATTGGACTTGCTTTGTGAGCTCAATTCGGAGCTTTTCGGTATTACATAGTTGCCCGGTGAGTTATTTAGTTAATCATTACATATTGATTTGAACATATATATATTTTCATATGAATGTTTCGGTCTTGAATGGAGTYACACGATCTTGATTTGTCTTTGATTCCGTCTCTTGAGTCGATTCCTCATTACTATCTCGGTACATCGGTTTGCTTTATGGATCCAGACTTGTTTGTTTTGTTCCTTGTGTTGTACGCCATAGTACGGGTACTACTTCGTGTGGCACGCCGGAAGTTTATGGCGAAGTCAAGATCCTGTGTTGGACGGGTGAGACTTTCTGCGGTTGTGAATACTCATTGCTCAGAGAGGAGGAAGAGCAATGAGTAGGGAACCTTGGCACATACCCGATAGAGGAAGACAGGTAGTGCGAGGTTTCCCGTAATGTACGATTCTGACTCAGACTTTAGCATGTGCCCGGGAGGTGAAGGACGGGGTKATGCACTGTCTTCATTATGTATACCGATTTGATTTCTTGATTCTTGATAATTATTGGTATTCTAACGTTGTTGAATACATTTGGTTGTTGATGCTATCTTGTTGGTCCCAAACGGGTCTACAAGAATACTAAACAGTTTGTAGAAGGGGGGGGGGGATGAATACAAACACAATTTTCAAATTTAAAATATATATTGATAGAGAAGATCAATAC